AGGCCTCCAGGGGCCATGCAAGGGCCCCCGTAAGCTCGCGGGAGGGGCCGCCTGCGCGTCTGTCTGAGGCTGCTGAGAGGCGGGCAGCCCTCTCAGCCTGGGGTTTCCTTCGGCGAGGTCCGTTTCCCATCCCAAGCCGCCCGAGCGTGCTGGGCCAGCCACTTTGACATGGCGCTGGATGAGGGAAGTGGCGTTCCCCGTCCCCGACTGCGCCCGCTTGTCGAGCAGGTGGCGCCCACGTGGGTGGCGTTTTCTGCCGTGCTGATTTCTGTTTGGGTTGAGCACTCGAAAAGAAATGGCAGGCGCGAGATCAAAGCGCGCGTCTTGGCTGCGTCTCGGAAGGCCGAAGTCGAGCCCGACCCAGAAGGCGATCCATTTTTTTTGGGGGGGTATCCTGTCGGTGGGCCCCGCACGAGAAGGCGCTCCTCGTGCGGGGAACGGCAAGTTCTCCTCGGATGGACACCTCTATCTACCCCAATCCCATTTTCCTTATTTCCATTGCCATTGACTCTTTCCCTTTATGGGCAGTGAACATCCTCCTCCTCCTCGTCTTCGTTCTCTTTCTCCTCGCCCTCCTCATCCTCCTCGTCCTCCTCCTCGTCCTCCTCCTCGTCCTCCTCTTCTTCATCTTCCTCGTCCTCGTCTTCCTCTTCGTCCTCGTCCTCCTCCTCCTCCGCCTCCTCGTCCCCCTCGTCCGACGCTGCAATTCTGTCCGTGGCGTAGGGGCCCGAGGGCCCCGCACCCCGTTCCGCAGGGCGGTTTTCCATCCCGAGCTGTCTGTTGACTGCCCCCCCGGGCTCGGGAGCTGCCCGCGGAGTCGGCCGAAAGCTGCGAGCAGCTTGCCGCGCGATGCCCGTGCGACGCCCAGCTCTGATGGCCCCCCTCCCCGCCTGCCGCTGAGGCGGGCGGGCCCTGGCGGGAGATTCCCGGCCCACCCCTGGTTGGCCTCGGGGGCAGGAGCGCGCCTCGCGCTCCCGCGCTCCCGAGCCCCCTGCTGGCCACTGTTCGACGGCGACGGCGGCGGCGGCGACGCACTGGCCTCGCCCACCTTGATGGGCCAATTTTCCGCCATTGCTGCCGTAGGTAGGACGGGGGAGCAGGGAGGATGGGGAGGTCCTCCTGATAGATAGCTGATGGCATGAAGGTTCGTTGAACCTTGCCATCGGTCCCCGCCTGCGGGTGCCGTGTGGCACTGCAGGCGGGGTCCATTCTGAAAATGGGCCGCGGCGCCTGGCGGCGGGCCGCAGCGGCGCAGGGGCAAACGAAGGCAGGGAGGAGAGGGGCCGACAGGGAAAGGACGAAAGTGGCCCGAGCAAAAGCGCGAAGGAGGAAGGCAGGAAGTGAGCAAGAAGGGGCCCCCCAAAAGCAGAGAAGAGCCGACAGAGCCCTCCAGGAGGAGGGATGGGGGGGAGGGGAAAAAGGGGGGTCGAGGACGGCAGGGGGAGGGGGAAGAGAAGGGGGGGGGGCAACGTGGGCCTTGCCGTGCGCGGGGTTGCCCCTGGTGTTGGGCTCGCGGCGCGCCGCGGGTCTCCTCCCAGCTCCTCCAGTCTCGCCGCTCCCCGAGGGAACTGCAGCCGGGGCCGCGGCGGGCCCAGCTCCCCCCCCCCCCGGGCCGCCAGACATCTCCCCCCTGTGGGGCGGCGCCGCGCTCACCGTGGAGGGGGGCGACGACGACGAGGCCCAGTAGGATCAGGCGATCGCAAACATGGATCAACGGGGGCCGCCAGGCCCTGTCCATCGCACGGTTCTGTAGTCTAGACGCATACCTCAAGCATCGCCGCTTGTATGACAGCGCGTGGATACGCATGTCCATCAGACGTGGTTGCTTTTTTCCAGAGGATCTTTCAGGCGATCGCGAACATGGATCAAGGGGGCGTGGATTAGCGACGGGTCCCGTTTCCATGGGAAATCGCGGACTTCCGCCGCCGAACGAGGCGGCACCGGCCGCATTTTGGGGAAGGCACCTCCCCCCCCAATCCATGGATTTGGCGACCGCGCGCTAAATCCATGGATCGCTGATCCATGTTTGCGCGCCCCCGATAGGAGGACGGATGGTCGTTCCAGCCGTTGGGGCCCAAGGAGGGCTGGTGGTCGTCCCGGCCGTGGAGGCCAAAGGAGGGCAGGTCGGGGCGGCGGGCGGCGGTGGTCTGGCAGCTGCCGGGCTGGCCGCGCAGCTGGGTGGGCTACCGCAGGCCGCGGAAGCTACCAGACCTTTGGCGCTTGGGCCTAGCAGTCGCTCCTGGGAGAGGCGAGGTGCGCTGGCCAGGGGCCGATGGTGTGGGCAATGCATCGGATGGTGACCAGCCCTTCGTCGTCGAATCGTACCACCACGGCGTGCTGCAAGGCGTAGCCAAAAGACGTCCTGCAAACCTCCTCGTGGTGGCCAGGGGTAACTTGATGCTGGCAGTATTTGTCGAAGGCCGTCTTTCCCCAGAGGCGGCGGAGGGCATCAAGGCCAAGGAGGTAGAGGGGGCCTCCATCAGACGCATGTGTGCCGTGACGGCAGTCTGTGGCAGTCTGTGGCAGTCTGTGGCAGCCGACTCAGGGACTGCAGGCCTCGCGCCAGGCATTACGTCCCTGGCCCCCCCTTGGGCCGCGCCTCCTCCTTCTCCTCCTCCTCCTGCTCCTGCTCCTGCTCCTCCTCCTCCTCCTGCTCCTGCTCCTGCTCCTCCTTCTCCTCCTTCTGCTCCTCCTCCTCCTCCTCCTCCTCCTCCTCCTTGGGCGCTCCCCTCTTGGACGCCCCCCTCCTGGCCGCCCCCGAGGAGCGACGGGCGCAGCCCGCGCGGGCGGCGGCAGGCCGTGTGCGCAGCCGTGCCGGCGCAGGTGTTGTAAGTGCAGGCCGCGCGGGCGGCGAGGCGCAGGCGGTGGTCGCGGCGTGGCTCGACGGCGACCTGCTTTCTGTCCTCCTCCTCCTCATCCTCCTCCTTCCTCTCCTCATCCTCCTCTTCCTCTTCCTCCTCTTCTTCTTCCTTCTCCTCCTCCTCCTCGGCATGGCGAAGCCGTGGCGCGGGCGGAGGCGCAGGCCACGTTGACGGAGTGGTGGCAGGGCTCGGTGACACAGATGAGGGCGGCGGCCCAAGTCGAGGGCGCGGGCCAGGGACCAGAATTTCGATGCGCAGTTTCTGTGCTGGGCTCAGTGACGCGGGTGGTGGTAGAGCTCGGTGTCGCAGATTGTGCAGGCGATGCAGACGATGGTCCTCCTCCTCCTCCTCCTCTTCCTCCTCCTCCTCCTCCTCCTCCTCCTCCTCCTCCCCTCCCAATCCTCTTCCTTATTCGAACCTCGTCCGCAGGGGGGCCTCCGCCGAGTCCAGAGCTTCCTCCGCCAGGCAAACCTCCACAGCCAGGTCCAGGGCCTCCTCCACCGAGCTGACCTCCTCTGGGTCCTGCGCCTCCGCCCCCGACATCATCGCCACTTCCAGGTCCTACTTCTCATCTCTATCCTTGGCCTGGCGGTATGTGCTGTGGGCGCCGACGTAAGCGTCGGCGCTGGTGCCGGCGTAGGCGTTGGCGTTGGTGTCTGTGGAGTGCTGGCGGTCTCGCCGTGAGGACGCCGACGCCGAGGTTCCAGCACCAGTCGCACAGGAGGTGGGTGGCGCGCGGCGGCTCCGTGGAGCGTATCCGATCCCTCTCTGGGTAGGCGACGCTGGCCCAACGCTTAGCCAGATGATTCAGTACGCCGCCGAACGGCCGAGGAAGGCGCCTGAAAGGGGCTCCACACACCTCCGTGGCAGGAAGCTTCACTTGCACCGGGGCGTGTGACGGAAAACTTCGTGCTCCCCAGATGGGGACGAGCCCGCCGTCCGGCGGGAGCTCTGAGGCTCAGTATCCGACTGTGGGCGCGCAGTAGACGGGCAGTGGCGAGAAACTGTCGGGGTGCGGCGCCGATCAGGTGCGGCGCCGATCAGGCGACGCCGGCCCGCCAGGCAGGGGAGGGGAGAGCGGCGCCCGCACCCAAGCCAGGCTCCCCTCTTCCTCCCGGGCTGGGAGGGGTAGCGGCCACGGGCCTCGATGCGGGGGCTGGGGCTCCACTCTCTCCTACCTTCTGCTGCTTGCCCTCGAGGCCGCCGTTGGCCTGGCCGAGCACACGGGGCAGGGCGTTGGTCTGGACGTCGGGCTGGTCGGAGCCGCTGCAAACGGGCTGGTCGAAGCCGATGAAAGGCAGTGGCATTGACCATTGGGTCGATGAAGTTTGGCACGATGATGACCGTGACCCAGATGAGGGTCGGCACGAACTCCGCCGCGTGCGGGTTGAGCTCGCCAGCTTTCTCGACCTCGGTCTTTGTGGCGGCGTCGACACAGACGGTTCTGATACGGCCGCCGTGGTCACGCCAATCATTGTGTGTTGTCATGGTCACGCCAGTCATTGTGCCAGTCATGGGCGCACCAGTCCTGGTGCCATTCAGTGTGCCAGTCATGGTCGCCCCAGTCATTTTGCCATGTGTGGTCATTGTGCCAGTAGCGGTCACGCAATTCCTTGTGCCAGCCACGTTAATAATAGTGACATTGATGGTCACGCTGCTTGCCACGCAGCTCCTTCTCGATGCTGTTCTGCTAGAAGGTAGTGGCATCGCATCCGTGGTCGCTGAGGCTGGCGCTGTGGTACGCCTCGCGCTGCTTGCCACGCAGCCCTCTTCGGGTGTTCTCCGTGTTGAAGCTGGTCTTGCTGCGCAGCATCAGGGCGCTGATCCTGATGCTGCCCCCAGTTCTGTCAGAATGCGCCAGGCGCCGCCACGCGGCGCCGCGGTCTCCAGGTTCTCACCGAATTTGGGTGAACATCTCGTACCTCTCCATGTTGGCGAGGGTGGGCTCGTGATGCTTGGCCCTCGTGTCTGTCGAGGCTGGCCGCCATGGCGGGTCTGGCGCACATGCCACCGCCCGCCACTGCTTGGCAGGTAGTGGCTCTCCTCCTCCTCCTCCTCCTTCCTCCTCCTCCTCCTCCTCCGCCTCCTCCTCCTCCTTCTCCTGCTCCTCCTCCTCCCTCCTTCCTCCTCCCGCGGCAGGAGCCCCCGATCTTCCACGCCGTGTACCGCGGCGTGCAGAACCTGGAGGAGAACTTCGCACGCGCCTCCGCCAGACCACTTGGGCGCCGGCCGCCCGCGCGGGACCATCGGGGGCTGGGCCCAGACGTCTGTGGTGAGAGTTTTGAGTCCTGGAGTGGCCTCGGGCGGCGGCGGGCCTCTGAAGGCCTCTGGTCAGGAAGGAGAGAATCACACAGACACAATTAGTCGTCGACTCCCAGGAAAAGATAGGGAAATAATGGGAAAATATGGGGAGAAGACGGAAAAACCCGGAAAGCATGAGCAAATATGGGGGATCCTGATGTCTGTGTGTATTGATTTCTGTGTCCCTGAGCCCCTCGACCTGGGCGCCTCCCGGACGTTTCCAGGGGCCTCCGGGACCTTCTCGTTTCGGCTTCCAGGGGCTGTTCGGGGGGGCCTGGGGTCGTCCCCAGAAATCAGTATCGTTCAACCAATCCCCTCCTCCTCCTCCTCCTCCTCCTTCCTCCTTCCTCCGAGCTCCCCCAAGGAGATTCCCAGAGCCCCGCAGCAGTTCCAAGAGGGCCGCACGGCGGTCCCAGGAGGCCCCAGGCTGCCCCAGTAAGCTTCCAGCAGTGGAGTGAGGCTTCAATCGTTATCGTTTATCCCATCCTCATTCCCATCCCCATCCCCTTCGAGACCCCCACCAAATTACCACCCACGTTGGGGATACACTCCTCGAAACCTGAAGGGAACGGCCTATATCCCCATCTAGGGGAGTACATCGACATGTGGGGCCCAGGGCACACCGCTGGGGATGGGGATCGGTTAAACGATACTCACCAAAAGAGCCGGGGAATAAGAGCTGGTCGTGGGGAAGGTGCCGAGTGTTCGAGAAGGCTGGTGGTTCGAAAAGGTCGAGTCTTGGTATGTCTGGGGAGGGAGGAGGTCCGCCCACCTGACCCGTCCGCAAGGGTGGGTCCTCCAGGTCGATTGCTTGGACACCCGCCCGCCCGCGTTGGTGTCCCGACCGCGCGACCGTCAGAAGGGTCCGCCTGGCCCGCTGCCGCGGCCCGACCCGCCCGCTAGGTCCGCCCGTTCTCCCGTTTGAGAGCCAACAGCCGCTGGTTTCATATCCCGCCCGCCCGACCCGTCCGATGGTCCGCCCGCTCCATTCGCCCGATCGCTCGTCAGGCTCCGCCGCTGCACCCGCCCTTTAGTGGCCCGCCCGCCCGACCCGCCCGTCAGGGTCCGCCCGTCCGACCCCGACCCGCTACTCCGCCGCTGGACGCGCCCTTTGTGGCCCGTCCCACCCCGACCCGCCCGCTTGAATGCTCCGTACGCCGGACCCGCCTGGTAGGGTCCGACCGTTCGCTTGTTTGGAAGTCTGTTTGCACGCGCAGATGTCTCGCACGACCCGCCCGTGCAGGACCGCTTTTACGACCTGCTTGTTAGTCTCTCCACCTCTAGTCAGTTGCTTGGGCTCCCTGGCCTGCTCAAGCCGCAGCGGTTGCGGGTGCCAGCGCGTACATGCCTGCTGCTATCACAGGACCGCAGTGGAGGAGGAAGGAGGGAGGAGGGAGGGATGAGGAGGGATGATGGAGGAAGGATGAGGAAGGGAGGGAGGGAGGGAGGGAGGGAGGGAGCGAGCGAGCGAGCGAGCGAGCGAGGGAGGAGGAGGAGGAGGACGAGGAGGAGGAGCAGGAGGTGGAGGAGGAGGATGAGGAGGAGGAGGAGGAGGAGGAAAAGGAGGAGGTGGAGGAAGAGGAGGGGGAGGAGGAGGAGGAGGTGGAGGAGGAGGAGGAGTAGGAGGAGGAGGAGGAAAGGGCAGGAGGAGGATGACCAGTATAAACCCAAGATGCATCGAAGATGTTGTATTAAACGTCTCTCCAAGTTCCTTCTTCATAGGGTTTTACAAGAATTCCACTGAGGGAAGTGACCCGTTGTCAGACAACCGTCTGAAAATCTAGACCCATGCCAAATCACGATTCCCTTTGACTTTATCGCCACGAATCCACGTTACTGTTGCGTCCGGGCGATCCTGAATCGTGCCAGAATTCCATTCCTGGGACTTCAACACCTCGAATCAACATGACTGTTGCGCCCTGAGAGTCCTACATTGTGCCAGAACGCAATTTCTGGGACGTCACCCATGGGAATCCTTGAAACTGTTGTGAACTCTTGAGACGAATGTCCGTGGCGCTGCGGTGATAGCCACATTTTGAAAACGGCCCGCCCTCCATCTGTGAAGTTCTTGCAAACTTTTGACGAATTTGCGCGGCGCTAAGGCGAGGGCCACCTTTTGAAAACGCCGCCCTCCATCCGTGATTTTGGCTGCAATTTTCCAGCGCAAGGATTATACATGGTGAGGAAGTCTCATGCGAAACGCCCAGCACTTTCTACCGACACGCCTCGGGGTGCGACCAGGGGGAGTTTCTGTAAGGATAGGAGATGGATGATGATGATGATGATGATGATGATGATGATGATGATGATGATGATGATGATGATGATGATGATGATGATGATGATGATGATGATGATGATGCAGATGATGAGGATGATGATGATGACGACGACGATGATGATGATGATGATGATGATGATGCAGATGATGATGATGATGATGATGATGATGATGATGACGAGATTGATGATGATGATGATGATGAGATGTGATGGTGGTGATGATGATGATGATGATGATATATGATGATGATGATGATGATGCTGATGCTGATGATGATGATGATGATGATATGATGATGATGATGATGAGATGATGATGATGATGATGGATGATGATGATGATGATGATGATGATGATGATGATGATGATGATGATGATGATGATGATGATGATTGATGATGATGAATGATGAGATGATGATGAGATGATGATGATGGATGATGTGATGATGATGATGATGATGATATGATGATGATATGATGGATGATGATATGATGATGATGATGATGATGAATGATGATGATGATTGATGATGATGATGATGATGATGAATGATGATGATGATGATGAATGATGAGGATGGAGGATGGAGATGAGGAGGAGGAGGAGGAGGAGGACAGACGGAAGAAGGAGAAGAGGAGAGGAGAAGGAGTAGGCGGAGGCGGGCGCAGCGGAGGAGGAGGAGGAGGAAAAATAGCAAGACGGAGACGAATCTGAAGACTATCAGTAATAGTATGACCAACCATGCTGATAAGAAGAAAACGAATCATGAAAGAGCGTGTGTTCTACCGTTGCTGGCAGAAAAAAGGGGGGGGGGCCATTGGGGGTTTTCAGCCCGTCCCCCCCCGCTCCCCTCTCGAAATCCGGGGGGGTCACTGGGGGTTCCAACCACCCCCTCCCCCCCCGGTCCATCATGAAAAGGGGGGGTGTCACAACCGGTTCGAACCCCTCACCCCCCCCACTGGAAAACCGGGGGAGTGGTGGCCACTACCGGTTCGACCCCCCCCCCTCCCCCTCCCTGCCCCCTCGCCGCAACGACTCCCCCTCCTCTCCCACTCAGGATGGGGGACTGGTGGGGACAGTGGTTGGGACGGTGGTGGGGATGGTGGTGGGGAGTGGGAACAGTGGGACGAGTGGGACCGTGGTGGGGAAAGTGGTGGGAACAGTGGGGGCAGTGCGACAGTGGTGGGGGCACTGGCGGGGACAGTGGGGACAGTGGGGACAGTGGTGGGGAATGTGGGGACAGTGGGACAGTGGTCAGTTGGACAGTGGTGGGGACGGTGGTGGTGGGGACAGCAGTGGGACAGTGGTGGGGACGGTGGTGGTGGGGACAGTGGTGAGGGCGGTGGTCAGGACGGTGGTGGGACAGTGGTAGAGTGGGGAGAGTGGTGGGGACAGTGGGACAGTGGTGTAGACAGTGCGGACAGTGGGGCAGCACAGTGGGACAGCGGTGGGACAGTGGGAACAGTGGGAGACAGGTGTGGGGACATTGGGGACAGTGGGGACAGTGGGTGTGGAAACAGTGGGGACAGTGGGGAGAGTGGGATCGTGGTGGGGGCAGTGGTGGGGACAGTGGGGACAGTGCGACAGTGGTGGGGTCACTGGTGGGAAAAGTGGGACAGTGGTGGGGGCAGTGGAGACAGTGGGGGCAGTGGGGCACTGGTGGGAACAGTGGGGACAGTGCGACAGTGGTGGAGGCACTGGTGGGAACAGTGGGGACAGTGGGGACAGTGGGACAGTGGTGGGGACAGTGGGGACAGTGGGGCAGTTGTGGGGACGGTGGTGGTGGGGGCAGTGGTGAGGGGACAGTGGGACAGTGGGATGGGGACAGTGGGAAAGGGATGGGACGGTGGGCGGTGGGGACAGTTGTGAGGGCGGTGTTGAGGACGTGGAGGCAACAATTGACAGTTGAACAGTGGGGAGAGTTGTGGGACAGTGGGACAGTAGGGGACAGTGGTGGGAACATGGGACAGCTCAGTGGGACTGCGGGCTGGGATGGTGGGAACAAGTGGGGGCATGGTTGGGACAGTGGGTGGACAGTGGGACGTGTGGACAGTGGGACAAGTGGAGGGTTCGGGGGGGACAGTGGGGAGAGTGGGACTGCGGTGTGGACAGTGGGGGGACTGGGGACAAGTGCGACGTTGTTGGGGTCATTAGGTGGGACAGGGGGAGGGGACAGTGGTGGGAACAGTGGGGACAGTGGGACAATGGTGGGGACGGTGTTGTGGGGACACTGGTGAGAGGCCGGTGGTGAGGGACGGAGGTGGGGACCCCGGAGTATTTTGCCGGCGGCACGAGGGGGCCAGGGTTCGAACCGGTATATGACCCCCCCCCTAGATATTCGGGGGGGGGGGGAAGGGGGTCCAAAACAGTATTGATCCCCTCCGGTTTTCCGGAGAAGGGGGGGGAGGGGTTAGGGGGGGGGCGGGTTGCCGGGGTAAGGGGGGGGAGGGAAAACAATGTCAAGGGGGGGGGTTGCCGGGGGAAGGGGGGGGTTGCCGGGAGAAGGGGGGGAGGGGTCAAGCAGGGTGGGGAGGATTTTCGGAGGAGGCGGGGGGGTCGGGTTCCGGAGGAAGAGGGGGGACATTTTCCTCAGTAAAACGGCGGTGGATCACGCTCTCTCAATTATTAATCACACGAAAACGAATATCATCACGAATAATGCTAGTACGAAACATTAGATTTTCAGAATAATTATAGTAAAATGCGAATCATGATACTAATAATCATTTTCAGACGAATACGGATCATAGTGGCAACACTCATGATAATCATAGTATTCATACTACTAGGACGCCTAAGCATACAACGACTGTTAAAGCGTATCCTTAACATCACTAGCACTCATCGTCTTTCGGAACAGATTGCGTTGGACAAGGAGATTCACGCTACCATTAAGCAGACGAATGCTAATACAACTGATAACACGTAAGAGAAGTAATGCTTCGGATAATGTTAGTATTTACAACACGAGCACTACTAACAATACGAAATGCTAGCTTTAGAAATAATAGTACGGAGAACACGACAACTAAGCATGCCACTAATAAGAAGAAACAGACGATGAGGAGGATGATGATGAGGAGGAGGAGGAGGAGGAGGAGGAGGAGAAGGGGAGGAAGAGGAGGGAAGCGAGGGAGGAAGGGGGTGGGGAATGAAGGCGCGCGGTGGGCGCCAGGCGGGAGCTTCCGCGGGCCCGACTTCCAGTCTGGGGCCAACGTCCTCGTGCAGCTTCGGTGCATCTCCTGCGAGCTCGACGGGGTGCGCTGGACCCTCCTTGCCTCTGGTGTTTCAAGGGCAAGGGTGAGCAGGATGACGAGGATGAGGATAATTCTGATGATGTTGATGATGTTGTTGATGATGATGATGGCGATGATGATGATAATGTTGATGATGCTGCTGCTGATGATGATGGTAATGCTGCTGCTGATGATGACGATGATGATGGTGATGATGATGCTGTTGCTGATGATGAAGATGATGATGTTGATGATGATGCTGCTGCTGATGATAATGATGATGATGGTAATACGGATGATGACGATGATGACGATGATGATGAGGATGATGATGCTCATGCTGATGCTGATGATGATGATGATGATGCGCATGATGATGAGTGTGATGATTATGATGGTGATGATGATGGTGATGATGTCAATGATGCTGATTGATGATGGGGATGATGATGATGATGCTGATGATGATTATGATGCTGTTTGTGATGCTGCTGATGATGCTGCTGATCATGATGCGGATGATGCTGATTCTGATTATGATGCTAATGGTGATGCTGATGATGGTGATGCTGATGATGATGCTGATTGATGATGGTAATGAGGATCATGATTATGATGATGCTGATTATGAGGATGATGCTAATGATGCTGCTGCTGATGATGATAATGATGCTGCTTGTGATGCTGATGCTGATGCTGATGCTGACGATGCTGCTGATTATGATGCTGTTGATGATGGTGATGCTGCTGCTGCTGATGATGATGATGATGTTGATGATGATGATGTTGATGATGATGATGCTGATGATGGGTGATGATGCTGATGATGCGGATTCTGATTATTTTTGTTAACGTTATTGATAGTATGAACATTCATGTCTCCATTGATAATCGAATTCTTCTTCTTCTTCATAGGTTTCTTATCAGCATCGTTGTTATTGTTGTTATTGTAAGTGTTACTATTATTCGGAGAGGGGGAGGGAGGAGGAGGAGGACGCGGACGAGTAGGCGGATGAGGAGGATTAGGAGGCGGAGAAGGTGGAGACGGAGCAGGAGCAGGAGCAGGATGAGGACGATGCAGATGAGGAGGAGGAGGAGGGGGAGGAGGAGCAGGAGGAGGAGGAGGATGACGAGGAGGAGGAGGTGGTGGGATAGGACGATGAGGGGGAGACTGGGAATATGTAGGAAGAGGATGAGGATTAGGAGTATGAGAGGAGGAGGACGAAGGAGGATAGTAGGAGGAGGAGGGAGGAGGAGAGGATGAGGAGAAAGGAGGAGGAGGGGAGGTAGGAGGAGGAGGAGGGGGGAGGGGGGGTCTGAATCCCAAAGAGCCTCCAGAGGTCTCTGAAGTTCTCGAACTTGCTCACCTCGCTCTCCAGGGATGTCCAAAACTGATGTTCAAGATTTACTCGTAAATCAGAATCCTGCTTCACATGTTGAGCACCTTTTGCTCTCCTGAAACGATCGCGGCCCCAGTGCGCGATCTGTGCAGCTGCAATCAGCTGCCTAGGTAAAACAGGCCCGCCCACCCACACCTTGAGCCAGTGGGCGGCGGTCACAGAACACGGCAGACCATGAACACACAGAGAAGCATCTAAAATCTAAACAGCACACGTGCCTGCTACTCTGTGTTCCTTTCAGACAGGCGGAAAAGAAGCTGCCGTGTTCACGGGGTCATCACGACCCTGCCGAGAGCTGCTCGGCTCCACATTGCCGTCCTCTGTCTGGATCTCCCTCGGGAGCTCCTGCAGCTGCCTGGACTTCCGGCGCTCCTCGAAGACTTGCTTGGCGGCTGCAGCGTCCTCGAGCTTCGTGGTATCGAAGATGCCCTTGCCCAGGGCGGCCCGTTTTCGTGCACTCATGAAGTTCTCGTCGTAGATGAGCCTCCACTCCTGCTTCTCCAGGAACAGCTTGAGGACACCGAAGGCTTGCCAGTTGCCCTTCGTGAGCCCGTCTGCGATCTTCGCGTAGGAGTGCACCCACTTGACCACGGTCTTCCCTTCATCGAGTGCATTCCGAAGAGCCAGGGCCTCGATCGCTGCACGTCGCTCCTCGAGCCCGAGTCCGGCCGACTGCGACCGTGCCACTCCGTCGTAGAACGCCTTGCAGTCCGTGGCCAGCACCGCCGGCAAATGATGGAGCAGCGTCATCTTCTCCTGGATGGGAGACTTGTCCAGCAGTATCTCGGCCAGCACCACCCGCACCATGCATTGTTCGCCTTCAGCGTCTCCAGCTTCCTGAACTTCTGCGGCCAGGCTCGAGCGAGCCTCGCGTCGGAGTTTCTTAGAGCCCCAGTCGAGCACGGTGAACTGCGACTTCTCGCCGTCCATGGCCTTCGTGGCTGCGATGGCGGTGAGGTAGCCACCTTGTGAATGGCCATCTGGCCGGCTAGCCCGGCTGCGTCGCACCGCGTGAAGACGGCCAGGTCGTCCAAGTCATGGCGGTGGATCTGAAGACCCATGCGTTGGTTCTGCTTGATCAGCTTGACGATGTTGTTGGCGGCCGTGAACAGACTGCGGGTGCCCTCAGGAATCTTCGACTGGAGCTCTGCGACCCACGCGAGCAGGAAGGGCATGGTGTTGACGCCCAGCCAGTAGACCTCCCCGCAGAACGCACGCAGCACGGTCTGGTCCTTGTCGCGCAGGTTGTCCGTCGGTCGGTGCCGTCCTCCGTCAGATGGCCGTACTTCGGCGATCTTGTCGGCGTGGGCGCGCTGGTGCAGGAAGAACCCCTTCTCGTTCTCCTCGATGGTGACCCCGCACTGCTCCAGGCTGGTGATACCGTCATTCATGTCCTCCCAGGTGCCCCACTTGTAGAGCTTCCGGATCTGAGACACGATGTTGGTCCACTTGGGGTGAGCGGTGTCACTTGCCAGAATGAAGTCATCCACGTGTGCCATGACCATACCGATGAGGCGTCTGGTCTGTGGGCACCGCACCTGCCACATGCACGGCTCCAGCTCGCGGGGCTGCAGTCCGAGCTTCTTGAAATCGACCTTCACCGTTTCCCACCAGTGACGCGGGGCCCCCCCGATGCCGTACCCGGGCTTGACGACGCGTAGTAGCTCACCCTCCTTCACCTTGAAGGCCTTCTTCAGCGCGGCGTCGGGTTCGATGAACAAGTCCTTGTCCAGCTCGTTAGCCTGCAGGAGCGCCGAGGTGACGTCACCCTTGATCAACTTCCAGTCGTGCGCAGCCGCGATCGTGAGCATCACGTTGCGAGCCCGTCTAGATGCAGTTGGGCTAGCCGTAGGCTCCTTCCCGAGGTCCTTCGTTTGGTAGCCGAGGAGCGCGAGTCGCGTTTTGGCCCTGCCGTCCGCCTTCCTCGTGAAGAGCCACCGCGCCCGGATGATGTCGGCACTGTCCTTGACCTCAGACGCAGGTACTGGTCGGAGTCCACGATGCTGAAGCCAGTTGTCCGTCTCCTTAGAGATGGCCACTTCGAACTCTGCCCTCTCGGATGTGTTCAACTTGGACCATGAGAGCTCGAGCTTGTCCTTCCGGCGCTGGTTGGCGACGAAGCTGTTGAGAACTGCCTGCATCATCCGATTGTCGACGCTCCTGTCGGCCCCCTCGCTCTTGATGTGCTCGAAATATGTTGTCTGGTGCTCGTCTATCCCCAGGAGAATGTCCAGGTCGTCCTTCTGGAGGTCCGCCCAGAGCTCGCTCTCGTCCATGTCGTTGTTGTCCTTCCGACGCTTCTCCGGCGGCTGATAGAGGTCCAGCTCCGGTCCACGATGTGTCATGCGGTACCGAGGGCGCGCCGACGATGACGGCTCCCCTGGTGCTGCTGGTGTTGCTCCCTCAGAGGCTGGTGCTTCAGCTGGAGGTAGGTCCACTGGCGGAGGCTGCTGAGGTATCTCTGCTCCTGCGGGTGGTGCCATCTCCTGGTCCTGAGCGTCTTCGGAGGGTTCGCCTGGTTCTGCTTCTGGTTGAGCCATAGACCTCGGTGTAGTGTGGCTCGACTCCGGTATGTTCGTCTCCTCCTCCGTGACAGCGGCAGGTGGCGCTTCTGCCTCGTCTCCTGGTTGGAATGCCTCGGTGGTCCTCGGGGGCTCGTATGCTGTGAGGTCTGGGCGGCGCTGCTCCACCAGGTCCTCGAACGTCCCAGCCTTGGCGGTCTCCAGGATCTCTGTCATGGTCTTACCGAGGGAGGCCTGCTTCTTGAGCTCGGTCAGCATCTTCTCTGTCTCGGAGGCTGGTCGTAGATGCTCGGGCGCGCACCTGATCAACGTGTTCCCGTGGGCGATCCAGACGACCGAGGTCACCCGAGTGCGGCCGTCGATATGCCGTTTTTCCTGAACAAGCACTCGTGCAGGTCCGTACCACCCTCCTGTCTTGCCAGGTCGGTTCTCCCGTCCTTTGCCGTCGCGCCAGAAGTGCACGAGGTCGCCGGCCTCCCAGGTCTGGTAGATCCGGTTCCTGGCTTGCTCGGCATGGCGTCGCCGTTCTGCATACTCGCACTCGAGGTAGCTCTGGCGGGCCAGAAGTCGCCTCTGCTCCTGCGTCTCGCCGGTGTCCCCGTCGATGATGGCGAAGGGGTTACTCGTGGGGGCCATCCCTGTGACGCCCAGCACGTGCTCGAATGGGGAGTGATTTCCCACCTTGTCCATGGGAGTTGATCGCACTCACGGCCCAGGTGACCAGCTCCTGCGTGCTGCACTCGGGGTCGTGGGTGGCCATCTTCGTCATGAGGCGCTTGAAGAGCTGTATGCGACGTTCCACCTTGCCCATGAGCCAGTGCGCCTCCCCAGGTGCGATCCATATCTCGACCCCATGGTCGGATGCCCACTTCGCGACTATCTGAGAGCAGTGGCACCCTTCTGGGTCCATGCGAAGGAGGGCAGGTTGACGGTAGTGGCTGCACCACGATTCCCACGTAGAGATCACCTCGATGGCTGACCGGTTGCCGCTGCGCTCGCCCTTCTGCCCGTGGTAGGTGACGCTGGTGAGGCCGGACCCCTCGTCGAGGTTCAGGGTCATGATGTGGGAGGTCTGCTGAGGTGAGAGCAACTCCAGTCCGTCCGTGGCGAGGACTTCGAGCACGCCCGGAATCTCCACGCCTGAGGCTACTCGCGCAGCTTTGGGGAGCTTCCCAATATGGCAACCATGGCATTGAAATTGAAGTGCCAGTTGGAGTACAGGGACCGCTGCACCAGAGGCCTTGAATATTGTAGAGTGTCTTGTTGCTGGGATGTCCCAGATTGCGATGAAGTCGCGCGAGTCTCTGCTCGATCTCTGAGACCTCCTTCTTCGACAGCTCCGTCTTGACGCCCAGGCCTTTGAGGGAAGCCTCGGCGGTCTCCATCTCGATGTCCTCCTCCGTGTTCAGCTCCCCTAGCTCGCCCGACGTCTCGACGTCGTCCTCTTCTGGAATCTGTTCCAGGCCCGCGTAGATCTCCTTGCCGTACTGGGAGGTCATGTTCTTCTTAAGGATGTGCTTGGCCCAGGCTCGGCACATGGCCGGAGGATAGTAGGCTGTCTGAGCCACCAGATGTCCGTCCTCGATGGCACGATGTAGGTGATTATCTCCTCGTCCCGTTCGGTTGCTGCAGAGCCGGCCCACCTTCGCTCCAAAGTCGGGGTCGGTAGAGCATACTCGCCATGCCTTCTTCACCAAGAGTCCTGACCTCTCGTCACGAAGTCCGTAGGCACACCCATGGATGATCGTCTCGTACATCTCTGACCGCATCTTCTTAATGGAGGGTGACCTCGACCAGCTGTGGCTGTTCCAGGGCTGCTCTAACTCAATGTGGCAGTCCACGATCTTCTTCGCCTCCTCGTTCAGGGCCAGGCACCCCCGTTGGATCCTGCGCGCCTGTCGGATCTTGTCCGAGAGCTGCTTCCTCTGGGCCTCCGTCTTCTGGTTCAGGTTCTGGAAGGGACAGTCTGCGGTGCACGGGGGGCTGAACACCAAACGTCGAGGTCGTGCCATTCGAAGTAGATGTATGGCCCTGCGGACGCCTGTGGCCGTGCCCATGTCATAGCCGTTGAAGAGCCCACACCGTATCACCTGGCCATGCTGCGCCTCCACCGCCTTGCCGAGCGACGACTCGTTCGGGCCGCACACCTCCATGAGATCCGCGCGCTTGGTCTTGGTCAGGTTGACGGTGTCCTCGCCGATCTCGAAGTAGATCTGGTCCATCACCTTGGTCTGCGCCTGGTAGAATGTGATGAGGACCGCGTCATTCAATGGCTTCAGCGGCCCCGCTTCTTCACGGTCTCCGTCACGTCCGAATCGTCCAGCATGCTGTCGTCCGGCACTGGCAGAAACACCCAGGGCCCCGCGGGGTCGCACTTTGCCAGCTTCGACGCCAGGCGCCTCCACCGCATCGCCACGGCCTGACTCCGGATGTCCCCCAGCGCTTCGCCGAGGGTTTCCTTCTCCGAGGTCGATTCGTCCGGATGCAGGCGTAGGCATCGATGACTCTTGCCTCCGCGGCAGCTGCATCCCGTGATCGCGCGGTTGGGTGCCTTGCAGCATGAGCACCTCGATCGAACTGTTGAGCTCGGTGGTGTCGGAGGCGGTGGCGGTGGTTGTAGCGGTGGTCCTGCTGGTGGAGTCGCTGGCACCGGGTAGCCCATCCCCATGTACACTTCGTGGGGCGTCGCAAGTAGGGCAGCAGGAGGCCATGCAGGATGAGGTCCGTACCGTGCCTGGAGTCGAAGGCAGTAGTGGGACATGCCGCCGTTGCAGCTGCACCCTCTCCGAGTCCGTCCCACCGCTCCGCAGCACTGGCATCGTCCTGGTGGCTGGTACTGCACTGGTGATCCCGTAGGACTGTTGATCGGCATCTGCAGCGGTGGTGTTGCTGACGCTGAGCCCGCTGTCGACGGAGCTGACGTCGGCGTGGCAGGCGAGGATTCTGCTCGAGTCCTCGGACGCGCCCACTCTGGTCGTGCTGACGGCGGCTGCTGTCGCGAAGAAGAGTCTCCACATGACATCAGACGCGTTCTGATATGTAGGATATGGAAAAGCTGAACTGCTGGGAATCTCGGAAGTTCCTGCACAACATTTTTGGGCCACACGAGGCTGAGGAATATCATTTGGCTTCTTGGGGTTCTGTTCAGGGTCCTCCTCTGGCAGGTGCACCTCGTTTCTCCTGGAGGGTCCCCCGAAGCTTACCCTAGTTGGCCTCTGGGTTCCCCTAGGACTTTCCCTCGTACTAGAACCTCTTGTTGCCTCCGAAGTCCCTGAGAATGTCCAAGTGCTCCCCCACCTTGTCCCACTCGAGCCCCTGGTCGTCATCGGTCTCGGGCTGCTCGAACTTTGAGACGTCGTGGGTCTTCTCTCGGTCGCACATCGCGTCGCTCTCGGTCGGCTCGAGGGGGGCTGGCTCGAGGTCTCCCCTGGAGATGTGGACCCTCTTGAGGTCCTCGAGGCTCCTGGGACGTGGCTGCCCCCTGGACCGGGAAACGAACCTGGGCTCCTTGGGCACCTTTCTGTGGGCCCCCCCGATGATGAGGATGACGATGGAGATGATATCTCGCTCGCCGACATCACCAGGGGGTGCTGTCCCTAGCGCACGGCGAGGCAGCCAGCGCAGCCCGTCACGGGCTCCTCCGGCTTCTCGTCCAGCACGATGGAGTCCCGCCTTGCCATGTTGACGTGGCAGTTCTCCAGGGACCAGGGTAGAGAGACCTCGCGCCACCACTGCGGCGTCGAAAGGTTGATCGCCAGGTGCTTGCTCGAGAGCCTCTCGCAGTAGTAGACCTTGTTGCCCAGTGTCGGCAACCCAATCCAGTTGCGGCCACAGTCGACCACTACCTTCAAGTCGTCCGTCAGGATGTCCATGCCCAGGAGAATGGGGACGCGGTTCGCCATCACTGAGAGGCTAATGTCTCGGAGCTCCGGTCCCAAGTATGCACGTCCAGAGACCGTCCCCATCGAGCTCTTCTGGAGCCCGTCGCCGAAAGTGAAGGAGCAGGTGTCGCCGTGCGCCTCGAACTCCACGTCGTGGTTCACCAGCATCTCGTACATGAGGTTCTCTACGCTCTCGACGCCACCGAGGCTGCGCGTGGCTCCAATGTCCAGCACGGCCCAGATCCCCTCGCGCTCGAGCAGGTAGACGTACTCGTCCAGGGCCGAGAGGATGAAGCCGTTGTGCGTGTTCGTCGCGCCTCCAGTGGCGCCGCTCCCGACCTTGCCACGGTCGGGACAGTCACGAGCTCGATGTCCGAACTGCTTGCACACGATGCACTTCATCTTGGACAGATCTCGCGCACCTTCAAAGCGAACTCGTCGATCTTGTTGTCCACGTCCACGTCCTTTAGCATGTCCTCGGGGCCGCCCCTCAGCGTGAGGCCTCGGCGGTGGAGCTTGTCGTCCATCTTCTCGCGGAACCACCACCAGGTAGTAGTCCCTTGCTACTCGTACTTGTCGAAGGAGATCCCTGGCATCCCTGAAGCTCCGACCCGCTTGGCGAAACTGCGCGAACACCTCGTTGTCCGCCTCCAAGTCGTCGGGCTCCACCTCCTCCTCCTCCTCGTCCGCGAGGTTGAGGAGCTGCTCGGCCAGCTCGTAGATCTCCTCCGCTTCCCCACCAGTCTCGTCCTCGTCCGCCTCAATGTCGTTCTCGAACAACGCCCGCTCACGCTTGACCTTGCCGTCCAGCTCCGCAAGAGCCTCCGCTGGGAAGCGCGTGAGCAACGTCTTGTAGGTCTTCGCATAGTTGAAGTCCCCTCCCGCGGTCGCCGTTACCTCACCTCTGAGCGCGGGGGTGAGCCTTGACTTCCGCAGGAACCACCATGTGCGAAGAGGTTTCGCTATCACTTCTTTCACGTCTGGGTCGATGGCCTGCAGTTGGGTCAACAGCTCCCTCTCCTTCTTCTCGAACCGGGCCGCCCAGTCTTGAGAGGTCTCCCCCGAGTTGCGGCCTATCTCCAGGAACTCGGCCAACAGACCCGTGTCGTTGAGGCTGGTGTAGTCCAACTTCTCCAGCGCATAGTTGAACACCGTCTCCCAGCCGACTAACTTTCCGTATTCGTCCACCTCGTCTACGTCGTCGATCGAGGGGCAGCTCTCTACGGCGTTCCGAACCCGCGGTCCAAGTGCCCGGACCAGTTGTGGTCCGCAGACGTAGCGGTCGTTCACTCTGATGCTCTTCACAAACATCGACACCTCGAAACGGTAGTTCGACAGCTTCTCTGCCTCACCGTTCCAGGATGGTACCTCAACTCGTGATGGTGCCGATGTCCCTGCTGGCGTCGTCATGGTGACGAGACAGATGGGAGCCCGTGGTGCGGATACCACGAGCTCCGCTACCAATCTGAATCCCAAAGAGCCTCCAGAGGTCTCTGAAGTTCTCGAACTTGCTCACCTCGCTCTCCAGGGATGTCCAAAACTGATGTTCAAGATTTACTCGTAAACAGAATCCTGCTCCAATCACACGATGGGGTAATGGGGGGGGGGTGGGGGTATGCAGGGGGGGGGTGGGGGGGGGGGGGGCGGGGGGGGTGGGAAGGGTCGGGTTGGGCGGGACGATGGAGGTGGGTGGTGGAGGGGCCGGAGGTGTGAGGTGGTGGGGGATGGTGGAGAGAGGGGGTGGCGTGATGGTTGGGGGGGGGAGGGAGGAGGGGGTGGTGGGGGGGGGGGGCAGGGGGGTGGAGGCTGGGGGGGGTGGAATGGTGGGTGGGGGGGGTTGGGGAGGCGGTAGAACGGTAGCGGGTGATGAGCGCGGGGGGAGGGGTGGTGGAGGGTGGTGAAAAATGGTGTTTGGTGGGGGGGACGATTGATGTGAGCACCTTTTGCTCTCCTGAGACGATCGCGGCCCCAGTGCGCGATCTGTGCAGCTGCAATCAGCTGCCTAGGTAAAACAAGCCCGCCCACCCACACCTTGAGCCAGTGGGCGGCGGTCACAGAACACGGCAGACCATGAACACACAGAGAAGCATCTAAAATCTAAACAGCACACGTGCCTGCTACTCTGTGTTCCTTTCAGACCCCCCCGGCCCGTGCACATGTCGCCGGCCATGATTTGCGCACCCCCATCTTGGACGCCCCCCTTTTGGCCGCCCCCGAGACTGCAAAATGGTGTTGACGTCCCGCGCTCGTCGATGTCGGTCGTCGCAGTCGTCGTCGTCGTCGTCGTCGCCGTCGCCGTCGCCGACGCCGCAGTCGCCGCCGCCGCCGCCGCCGTCGTCGTCGTCGTCGTCTTCGTCGACGATGTCGTCGTCGTCGTCGTCGTCGTCGGTGTCGTCGACGCTGCGGTCGTTGTAGTCGTCGTTGATTGTCGCAGCAGTCGTCATCGAGACCAAGTCTCTGTCGGTCGTCGGTCTTTGAGTTTGAGCCTCTTGGGCCGTTTGGGAGTTATTCCTGATGGCCGCTTGGGTCGTCTTGGGACGTCGGAAGCTAGAACAGATAAGAACCCAACAAAAGCGATGAAACATCCAAGGACAGTTCACTGATGTTTGCCTCTCGAGGCTTTTTGTTGGGAAAGTTTCTGTGCCCTCTTGCGACGCCTCGAATGCCTCGCGGGCCGTCTTAAGGCCGTCCTGGACAGCCTTGAGGTCAAAGTGGCTCGTCTTGGAGCGATCTTGGGCCGTTTTGGAGGTGTCTGGGCCTCGCGAGCGCGACCTCGTCGTGTGTTGTTCAAGGTTTGCGGCCTCGGGCAGGGTGGCTGGTGCTGGTGCACGCACGTGGGCACTTCGAGAGGAGTGTGGCCCCCAGAAGCATGACCGAAGTCCTGCCAGGCAGCACCTGGCACTCCAGCACGCCCCAACCGTGCCCGGGAGCACTCTCCTCCTCCTGATTCCCAGGCTGATTTAGCCTTGTGGGAAAGCCTTGTCGGTTTCCCCGATGCCAGCGACTCGGACGACGACAATCCCGCTCGCGAAGCGAGGCTGTGGGTCGAATAGCGTCTCCATCGTTGGCCAATGCATTTTTAAAACCTCTGGCCAGTACGCGTGCGGCTGGTCTTTGTCAGGTCAAAGGTGGCGGAGCTTGCCGCGGGACGAATCTAGTATGAACGTTGTTGTTGCTCCGCCCCGTCGCGTGGCACTCCTGACGAACGTGCAATCGTCTGAGATTCGACCACCCTGCATTGCCCAGTTGGGAGCAAGCCACAATGCATCTATAGTTTTTCATATATATATATACATGTATATGTTTATACGTATGTGTATATATATATATATATATATATATTAGAAGTGTATATATATATATATATATATATATGGCATGGCGTATATATATATATATATATACATATATATATATATATATATATGTATATATCCGACGCCTTTTTTGTTGCCGGTTCCGTCGCCGTTCTTTTTACGGGTTCCCGTTCCGGTTCCGATTTTGGAGCCGTTTTTGTTGCCGTTTCCGGTCGCCGTTTTATCGCCGTTTCTATTTTCAAGGGACATTTTCTCGGAAACGCTGAAAAACACCCTTGCCGTTTCCAGGGCCCTTTAAGCCCTGGACCATGCGAGATCCTTTCCAGAAGGCTCACGAGGCCCCCAACACGTCCCAAGGGGGCTCCCCAAACGAGCCCCAGGAGGCTGACATCGTCCCATGCCCTTTGAGAGACCGACATCTTCAGAATCAAACAATTGTCAGGCTGAGCCACGACCCCAGACGCCACCAAGACCGCCCTAAAGCAGCCCGAAAAGCCCACAAGGGAGCCCGAAGATGGCTCAAGAGGACCCAAGAAGGCCCAAGACGGCCCAGGAAGGCCCCTGCAAGCCCCCAGGGGAGCCCAAAGGAGTCCCACAGACACTCCAGAAGAAGCCAAACCGCTTCAAAGCAGCCCACGAAGCCCCGAAGAGTGCCCGAAGACGGTCCCGAGAAGGCCCAAGACGGCCCAGACAGGCCCCTGGAGGCCCCCAAGAGCGCCCAAAGTCGGCCCCCAGACATCCCCAAGAGAGCCCACGGACGCACACAGCTCCTGAAGACGGCACAGATACCCACGGCGGTTTCAGAGGGCTTCTCACATCTCTCAGAGATGCCCCAAGAGGCCACCCCAAGAGATCCCCAACGGAGCCCCAAGGCGCCCCCGAAATGGCCAGGGGGCCCTCCAGAACGGCTTCGGCTCTTGTGCCCCAGTGTCCGATCCGATGCGGCTCGATCCGAGTCGAATCCGACATTCGGGCGATCCGAGGCGGCCCGACGCCCACATTGCGTCGTGGTGTGTCCTGGCGCAGCCGATCCGAGTTGATTTCGAGTCCGTGCCCGATCCGAGTTGATTTCGAGTCCGTGCCCGTGCGGCTCGATCCGATTTACATTCAGGAGGGACAGATACACACAGACACAATTAATCGACGATTCCCCAGAAAATATGGGAAAATTATCCCGGCAAAGCAACCTAACAGCGATGTGAAAAAGCATATCTGAAAGCATTCCCCTTAAGATTCAGATGAAAATCCAGTTGTCGAATTCTGCTGTTCTCGCAGTCGTAGTCGCATTCGCGATGACAGTCGCAGCGGCAACGGCAGTCGCAGTCACAGCCTCAGCCTCAGCCTGCCTCCTCCTCCTCCTCTTTCTCCTGCTCCTCCTCCTCCTCCTCCTCCTCCTCTTCCTCCTGCTCGTCCTCGATCTCGTCCTCCTCGTCTTGCTCGTCCTCCTCCTCCTGGTGCTCTCTCCTCCTCCTCCTCCTCCTCCTCCTCCTCCTCCTGGTGGTCCTCGTTCTCCTCCTCCTGGTGCTCTCCCCCCCCCTCCTCCTCGTCCTCCTCCTCCTCCTCCTCCTCGTCCTCCTCCTCCTCCTCTTCCTCCTCCTCCTCCTCCTCCTCCTCCTCCTCCTCCTCCTGGTAGTCCTCCCCCTCCCCTCCTCCTCCTCCTCCTCTTCCTGGTCGCCCTCGTTCTCGTCCTCCTCGTCTTGCTCGTCCTCCTCCTCCTGGTGTTCTCTCCTCCTCCTCCTCCTCCTCCTCCTCCTCCTCCTCCTCCTCCTCCTGGTGGTCCTCGTTCTCCTCCTCCTGGTACTCTCCCCCCCCTCCTCCTCCTCCTCCTCCTCGTCCTCGTCCTCCTCCTCCTCCTCCTCCTCTTCCTCCTCCTCCTCCTCCTCCTCCTCCTCCTCCTCCTCCTCCTCCTCCTGGTACTCCTCCCCCTCCCCTCCTCCTCCTCCTCCTCCTCCTCTTCCTGGTCGTCCTCCTCCTCCTGGTCGTCCTCCTCCTCCTGCTCGTCCTCCTCCTTCTCCTGCTCGT